TCCTTCTCTCTCTCTCTCTTTCACTCCCGCTCTCTCCCCCAGTGCTCTCTTGTGCCGTGCCGTGCCGTCCGCGGGATGCGGGGTGGTAGCGCGGCCGCTGCTGCTGCTGCCGCCGCCAGCACGGCTCCGCCCACACGCGCAGACGGAGCGGGCGGAGGAGGAATGGACGAGGCGTCTGGTAAAACAATCAACACACACACACACACACACACAAAGGAAAAGCAAAACAACAGAGGGCAAAAATTGCATTTCGAACTGAGAGAGTGGGTAAGACGCATACACAACAGACCCGGTCCTCACCCTTTCTTCCTCTGCTTAGATTATCCACGTCCTTTCTTCCCCTCCACACTTTTCCCTCTTTTTTTTTATCCAGCAGTGATTCATACGTGTCCGTCCACCACACTTCGCACACGCTCCGCTCCATTGTTGTCGTTGTTGCTTCTGCTGCCCTCAGAAACTCCGCGGTGAGGCTGCAGCCACGCTTTCTGCATCAGATACATATGCCTTCGGTTTCTTAGACATGCTTATTCCTTGTTTCTTTTTCTTTGTGTGCGTGCTCTGATCTTCTCCACCCAATAACATCAGCTTCTGTTGCTGCTGCTGCCGCCGTGGGTCTCTTTTCCCATCGTCACACAATCGCCACCCTACCCTTTCTTCCCTTTTCCACTTCTTGAGCCTTGCCAATGGGCGCGCTAGTCGATTGTCTGGAAGGGCTGCTCTATTCTTCCCTTTCCTCAGACCCTAAAGAAAAAACAAAACCACGCATCATTTAACCTTTTCTTTGCGGAGCGGTATCTGCTTTTTTGTTCCTTATTTCCCACGCCCCTTGCGCGCAGCAACGCACTCCAGCTGGTGGGAGAATGCAGCCAGCCACCCCCTCCCCCCTAAACACACGTGCTCACGCCTCGCCTACTGCTTGGCCCCGCCGTTCTGATTGGGGCGGCGCCGGTCACGGCGGTGATTGCCGGCCTTGCGCTGCCGCTCCTCGCCCTCCGCCGGAGCCGCTTCCTCCGCCGCCTTCAGTGGCCACTTTCGCCCTTCGGAGCCGTTGTTGTCACTGCTGCGGTTGTCGTTTCTGCGGCTGCCGTTGCGGCTGTCGTTGTTGCGGTGCGACGAGGGCCGCGGGATGTCGGCGCTACCGCCGCGGAACCTCCCACCGCCGCCACCGCGCTGTGTGTAACGTGCGCCCTCGTCGTTCGCGGCGCCGTCTCTATAGTTGTCGAAGCGGCGACGGTCCGACAGGAAGTTGCCGCCGAAGCCCCTGCCGCCACCACGGCCGTGATGCTGCTGGTTGTGGTGATGCTGCTGATGCTGGTTGTGGTGGTGCTGCTGATGCTGGTTGTGGTGGCTTTGGTGGTGGTGGTGGTGGTGATCGCCGCGCAGGCCTCCCCTAAACGACGACGGCCCGCCGGCACCGTGGTGCGGCCCGTACATGTCGTTCAGCACCTTTGTGAGTCGCTGGTGGAGCTCCACCAGCGTGGGGTACTCGAGCACCTGCGTCATGGTGAATACAGCCTCCAGCAATTCGCCTTGATGCATGTTTATGCGCCCCTCTCTCTCTCTGTGTGTGTGTGTGTGTGTGTGTGTGATTTCGGATTTCTTTTGTTGTTTCTGTGCACGTCAGACGTTGCTTTGTCTTTTTGTGTGTATATATTTTTTTTTCTTTGGTTGTTGTTGTTCGAGCTGTTGTGTTTGTTTGTTTGTTTTTTCGTCCTGTTATGGTTTCTCTGTTTCTCTTCCTGTGGGGCCCAAATGCGTGTCACACAGCAAGAATAAGAGAGTGAGAGAGAGACAGAGAGAAAACAGACATGTGGCAGACGCATGCAGCGACGCGAACAGAGAGGGGGCGTGGTGCACAACGGGAGGACGTCTCCTCCGCTACGTTCCCCACTCAGTTGCTACTACGCCTAACTGCTAACACCGCCACCCCCGCACACGCCACAATCTCCGTACCGCCTTCCTTTTTTTTTTCCCTTCTTAGTCTGCTACAAGAACCGCAACAAAAAAAGAAACCACAAGCACACGCACCGTATGAACATGTCTAATCTCTTCCCCTATGTGCGTGGGCGTGGGCGAGTGTCTTGTTACGTGTAGAGACCTGCGCAGGACAGCGCAACTCCAGTGTAAATGTCTGCTCTCCTCCGCTCTACGAGCTGCTGCCACACCGTTGCTGTTGCTGTTGCTGCTGCTGCTACGGCACCTAATTAGTGGTGGTCGTCATGGTGGCTCCACACATAGCGGTGCGGGTCGAAGATGAGGTCGCGTGCGTTGTATTTGATCTGCATCGCCGGATACTCCCCCCACCAAAAGCCGATGGAGAAAATGAAAAACATCCAGCATGGGTCGCGGTTGAACTGCGAGAACCGCCGAGGAACAAAACCACCGAGGAACATCGCTTCCTTATTTTATACGTCACGCACTAACCCTCTCTCTCTCTCTCCTGGGATACCTAAATAGCCTTTCTTCAGTGGGGCAGGAAGGGCAGGAAGGGGGGGCAGAACAGTGAGACAGCACCCTTCAACGCGGACACACGCACACACACACACATATTTATATACACCGAGTGCTAGGCAGTCAAAACGCCTGTGAACCCTGCCGCCCACATCCCTCACGACACCACAACAGGAGCGACCACTGCAGCGGCTGTTGTCCTCTGATTTATTCCAGCGGACTCATGATAATACGCATCAGCTCATTTTGCTCGTTTCGTTTAGTCTGCATAACAAGATTTACCGCCGCCACGCTTGTGCTCCCCGACAACAAAGCCAGACGGAGCACGCCAACCTGCAACAAATACTTCTCTTCCACCATAGACAAGTCAAGCTCCGCGAGATGCACGTCTAGCTGGTAACATGCGCCCGGCTGCAGTGCCGTGGCGCCGTCGGACGCTGTGTGACGCAAGAAGGAGGAGCCGTCGCTGGCCGTTGCAACAGCAGAGCATGCAGTGGAAGGAATCAAAGACACAGAAACGCATTTGTATGCAATGTCGGCTTCGAATTCGACCGCCCACTTGGGATCGGCAACCGTCTCCAGCACGGCGTACTGCATCTGGATGTGCAGCGGCGCGCTCAGCAGCGAGTAGCTGTGCTGTGCCTGGTCCAACATAATGCTCCGTACATCAACCAGTGTCCGCTTCTCCATCTGTATGGGCCCTTTTGAGACAGAAATGAGAGAGAACAAACAGTAACGCTGAGCAGAAGAGGGGGGGTACTGTCAAGCAGGGATAGCAAGGGAGAGGGGAAAGCAGAAACAGAGAGATGGGGGAGACTTAGAGTGTAAGAAGAGGACAGACAAGTGTTAGCCGTCCCATCCCTCATAGAGGGCAAAATAGAAGGGGGAAGGCGAGAAGAGGCTGCTATCTTCATTGTGCCGTCAATAATAACAGCATCAATGGTAATAATAGGGGAAAAAATCATGCCTATAATGCATCCCACCTCCATTTTACCAAGATGAAGTGGCACACTTCTCGTCACTTCCATGCAGACAAGAGCTACACGGTTCGCCTCAATCAATCAATCATTCATTCATTCCTTACGGTTTACGTTTTCCTACACACCGGCAAACAACAAGGCATTAGTGCGCCGCTCACAGTGACGGATGAAGAGAGCGACTGATACAGTGGCGGCGGAGACTGCTAGAAATCGGTTGAAGTTGGTCCAAAACTGATGGTGCGCCTCGCTGTCAGGCAGGGGCTTCGGCCCTTGCATCCCAGGGAACATCGTCCTTTGTAAACGAACAAAAAAGCCTTCCTTCTACAAAACAAAGCAAACAAGACGAGACAAAGAGTGCATCAACACGTGCGAAAGATGCAAGTTGTCACAATAGGTCTTCGCTTCGCCCTTGCGCCTACCTGGGGACGCACAAGCATCTGTAATGCCAGCAGGAAGGAATATGGGAGAGGGGGAGTGGGTGCGGCCAAGCACACATCAGCAATATGACTAATGGGATAGATGGTATTCACTCGTCACGGTATCGACTCGCGGCAAAGGAGCATACCAATATGTAACATCATAAGTACAGGCTTCACTGCAGTCACCCTGCAGGTTCAATACAGAGAGCGACAGCTAATAACAGAAGGAAGAGCACGAGAACGTGCGTGCAACAGGAATGTGGCGGCACGACGTGTGGATGTGCCACACAATTCCCCAGCTCGCATCGGCCAAGACAAACGAACTCAGGCGTAAGGGACACCAAACACCCCCAAGTTTATGAAGGAAATAATCGCAAGTTAGACGAATCGCATTATCACTTAGTCCCGGAATAAGTTATACATGCATAAACGCGTCGAAGCCAAATAAAAACACACGTATTTAAACCGTAACGCCTGATGGGTGGAAAACTATGAAAAAATATATATAATGATAGTAACACGTATCTGTGCGTGTGCCTTCCTCATTCATACATGCTGGGAGCAATAAAAGTCGTGGCAATAGCCGATTGAGTATATGAGAAGCGTTCTGGATTTATTTCAGGAACGGAATAACAAGAAAATAGTGTATCCCACTTCATTTCCGCTGCGATTGGCGCATGGGAAACTGTTCTTTTCATGACCTCGGCCTTCCCCGCGCAGAGGGGTAAAACCCCACGAGGCCGCGGTAAGACTTTCTGAACCGAAGGCGCAGTCTTGGACTCCGGGCCGAGCAGGGCGCCGATAAACTCATAATTATTCTCGTGGGGATGTTATCCCCCACTATGACCCCACATTCTTTCATGTTCTGGGCGATTTGGAGCTCCGATGTGTTCATTGTTCCCTCAGATCGCCAAAACGGATGGCATCAACCGTAAAGCGGATCCTTAACCCGCGATGGGGCGCACATTGTGCCCTTGTAATCCCGGGGGGGGGGGG